AGAGAGAGAGAGACAGAGAGAGAGACAGAGAGAGAGAGACAGAGAGAGAGACAGAGACAGACAGAGACAGAGACATGACCAAACAGGGCCTCTTCTTATAATACAGGCTCTTAAAGGGATAACAGCCAAAAACCTTGCTGACTCATCATTACATCGGTGCATCATCGTAGCAGCTGGTCAGCTCTTAAATCATTAACCTGACACCTCCCCTCGCTTTGACCAGACCTCAATACCTACTGGTCCCTTCACTCACCAGGTATCAATAACAGCTTGGATCTCAGGCCGGCGCTTGATGAGACCCTGGCACTGATCCATCGTGCGTTGGATACAGGGCAGCAGCAAAAAGGCTTGTTTCTGGTCGTGGGACTGCACCTCTCCCACCAAGGCTGGGGACAGAAAATGAAAAGAGCCATCTTAACCATCATTTTCCCTTCCATTCGAGCAGGTCCAATGCTTACAGTCAGCCTGCTCTTGCTCTGCAATTTTCTTGGCAAGGTTTTTTATTAGTGGTTTGCCATGGCTTACTTTATATGGCTGAGAGGCGGTGACTGGCCCAAACACACTGCTTCACAGCTGTCTCTAAGCTGCTTACAATACGTTTACAGAGTCAGCATATATTGCCCTCAACCATTCTGGGTCCTCATTTTACCCATCTCGGAAGGATGGAAGGCTGAGTCAACCTTGAGCCTGGTGAGATTCGAACTGCCAAATTGCAGGCAGTCGGTAGAAGTAGCCTGCAGTACTGCACCCTAACTACTGCGCCACCAAGTTTCAAGGCCTTGCTCACTGCAGGATACATTGTGACCTGCCATGTAATGAAAAACAACCCCAAGTGGGGATGTGGCGAGGGCACCAGGCATGAAGAAACATCATTGAAATGTTCGCCTCTTGGCATAGCTTTTACACAGTGGGATAAAGGATGGCGGGGGTGGGTGGGGGCGGGGAGAGTGTCTCTTTTTGTTCACAGACTGGGCAGGAAGAGAGGAGGACTGGAACTCTGAAGCAGGATTATGACCTCTGTGTTTTGGGAAACTTCAACGAAAACTCAAGGGTCAGAAAGAAGGAAGAGGAACTGCAAAAATATATATATTATAATATTATATATATAGATATATATAAACTACTCTAATATCTATCTATCTATCTATCATCTATCTATCTATCTATCTATCTATCTATCTATCTATCTATCTATCTATCTATC